CCCGGCTGCTGGCGGTAGGGTCTCAACGGCGCGGTCCGGCCGGGCGCCGTATCCTCCAGGGCCCTTGCTCCTAAAGGGGAAAAAAAAAGCGCCCTGAAAGGAGAGACGAAGGTGCTCGGTAATACCGGCATGCCCTAGCTCGAAGCTCGGGTCTCGCTCCGAAATCGTCATTGCAGTATCGTTAATTCGGTCGTCTATAAACTCATACCAGCCTAAGAGTCTGGTGTGATTTCCTGAGTTTATTTCTGATACCACTTCTATCCTCAGCGGTTTAAAGGTGACTGGTGTGTGTTTGATTATTGGTACAACTTCAACTGCATAAACCTGTTTACACAGTAAAGTTTTAAGAAGAAAGGATCAATACCTTTTACTGTATTCTACTCTAGAAAAGGCTGTGGGGAATAAGCAAACGTGTCTTTTTCACTGTTCACACACACACACACAAAAAGAGGTCTGTGCCTCTTTTTTAGGTTTTGTGCACTCTTTTTAATGGTACTCTCTCACCCCCAAGTCATCATCCCCAAACCTGTGTCTCTTGATTGTTTTCTCATCTCAAACTGGTGTCAAATGTGTGTTATGTGATATAGAGAACATAGGCTGTTAAGTTTGGAGACACTGAAATTCGCTTTAGGTCAATAAATATTATTTTACTGTTTTGAAGCATGCAGGCAAAAAATCTACATCTTTTTCAGAATGTTATGCTGACTTCTTCAGGGAAGACTTTGACGTGAAAGCTTACACTTCCCAGTCTATCCATCAGGCTGTGATAGCAGAGCAACTAGCAAAACTTGCCCAAGGTATTAGTCAGTTGGATAAAGAGCTTCATTTACAGGTAAGGTTAAAGTTATTCTGGAGTGGTTGATACAAACTAGTCAAAAGTTTAGTAATCTTATGATCTTGTTGCTTCTGAAATTGTGCAGTGTACTCTGTAAGCAGTAACTAAAGGTACAAATTGGAGCAAAACTAGTAGTGAGCCTGATACTTGGTTTAGTCAAACCCACTTTTAATATTCTTACCAAGAAGCTCCAAGTTGCTTTGTTTTCAGTTTCTGCAGCCAGTCTCTGTATGTATGGACGTTCCTCTCTTCCTTGTAAGAATATTCCTTGACTCTTTCTAATTGATCATGTTGGGTATTAGAAATGCTGGCCTTTGTTTTGGGATGACAACTGTGAGAAGATAGGGAGTGATTTAACTTGCACCCTTTCATCCTGTGCCAGAGAGCAGCTTAGGCTTTCAGGGTTACCCTTAGCTGGGCAAATACAACCTATGTTGATACACTTCCACACCTTCAGAAAGGCATTTGGGTTTGGATAATAGAATACTTTTTGGTGAAATCGATGCAGAGAACACAAATCCACTGTGAACCTTGCCATGAGAACCCATGCTAAGTTTGTGTGTAGTATAAAACCCTGTTTCCTTCTTCCTCCTGCCCCAGTGGGTAAATTCTTAGGGAGTTAGTTTCTAAATGTCGTCAATAGAAGAGCAAGTATTAAAAATGTGGATAAACTGTATTACTGTGTGATTAATAAGCTTACATATACAATTATTATTATATGTGAAAGTGTATTGGAGTGGGATTGCTCTGCTCACTTTGAGATGTCATCTGCACTACAGTTACTGAGACCTTCTTGTTCTGAGCTTGCCATTTCTGTGAATTAAAGTGTGTTCTGAAAACCATTTTGTCTTTAAGGTGAGACTGCTTTTTCCTGTGTCTGCCTGATTTAGGGATGATGACAATTCAATGCCTAATATAGGAATGATGATGATACAATAATATCCCTTTTAGGCACACATCATCATTTTTCTCTTTTGATTTCTCTATTCTATTTTTTTTAAGGTTGTTGCAAGACATGAAGACCTGTTGGCCCAAGCAACTGGAATTGAGTCTCTGGAAGGTAAACACTGTTATATTTTGCTGGCTACTGCTTACAACAGAAGAAGCACTTCTAATATTTGTGCAGGGAATGTCACTCACTGCCAACTTTGGTCCCTAATGTTAAGACTACAGATCTCACTGAGAGGAGTAACATGGCAGCTTTTTGTTTTGATGTCAGTAGATGGAGCTCAAGGGAGAAGATTTGGCTGATACTTCTCTGGAGTTACTACTTCATAGGAAAAAGTATTTTTATAATCAGTTCTGAGCAAGTTTAGCAATTGAGACTTTTTGGCTCTTTCCCCTTCCGTTTTTTTTTTTTTTGTAGCTTGCTAGGTAATTTATCTTTGTTCCTTCTTCTCCTTCCAGGTTTTTGCATAACCAGAAACTTTCTAGTCACCAACAGCTGTAGTATCTTCTTAGTCCTTAGAACTTGTTGGATACAGTATTTAATTGTTAGCATACAGCTATAAAAATAAAGAAATGCCTATTTAATGTAGCAATGGTAGCTGCTGAATAGTTTTTTTAAACAGTTGGAAAATTAAGCATAGGAAAACTGGAATCTGTGTTCATGCTCCAAATAAGTAGATAGGAATCTGTAGTCTGTCTTGTGGTTGATAAATACCTCTCAGCCATGCTGAAGAGCAATTTGTGCTCAGTGGAACTGTGTTTTCTGAAATAATAATTGTTTCTGAAGGCTTCCCTTCCTAAATTTGCTCTGAGGAAAGAATGAAGCACTTCAGCTATTCAGTTATAAAACATTTCTATAAAGCAGGTGTGGTAAACCCCATGTTTTACAGTTAATAACCCCAAATAAAAATAAAATCTAATTCACCTCTGATTCGTTGAAATTTCTCCGTTTACTTATGGTTATGCTCTTTAAGAGGCCTCTTTTGTGTGAGGGAGGGAGGGAGAGAGGGAGGGAGGGAAAAGCATGCAGAGGTTCTAATCCTGGAAAGTACTTGACACTTGAGACATCAGCAGAAACTTCAATCTGCAGTTGCTAGGAAAATCAAGTCTATGCTCACAGAGATGATGTTTTAAGTTTTTCAGAACTTTCTTATCTCTTCCCTGCTCGTGCTACACGTGCTATATGGTCAGCTTTGAGGAAGTATTGAGTCAAGATTTGCAAGAAAAAGAAAAGAATGATGTCAATAGAAATTTTGCTTATGACGTTAGAGACACATTAGCTCTTGGTATGTTTATCAAGAGAGTTAACAAGTGAAGATTATGGAGCTAGTTCGTGGTATGCACAATCATTCGGATGTGTGAAAGTGTATCTTGCTAGACGTTTCAAATTGATGTACCCAGTTTGTAAAGTCCTTTCTTTTTTGGGTCTGCACACTTTTTTATGGTGCACTCATCTGGTATACACACTCTTTTCTGTTTATAGGTAGCTCAGCAGGTATCTTGAGCTACCAGGTAGGTCCAGATAGGCTAAATAGTATCTTCCCATACCTTACGGAGCAGAGGGGAGAGGGTAGAGTGGCTTTTCAACCATCCCAGTTCTGCCTTCTGGCCAGAGAACTGCTGTGTGCTTTATGGCAGTGTCACAGTCATAGGTGAAGCAATGTCATGCTACTGGCCCTCCCCCATTATTGCAATGTAGAGGAGAAAAAGGAGCCTGTTTTGCCAACTTTTCACTGTCTTGTATCTTCATCTTCATGCCTGAGAATTGCATGTCTACTATTCCTTGTATAAATGTCAAAGAACTCCTGAGTCTGTCTCCAAGCCAAGATAATCTGAAATATGGAGAAGACGGGAGTGCGCACATTTATACAAAATATGTGAGATGTAGTCCCAGCACCGGACAAGCTGAATAAAACTATTAGCTTCTATTAGCAGTAGTTTAACTTCCATCTTACTGTATTACATTTCAGTTTTATCCAATTTGATGATGACATGTTTGTAAACAGGGCTTTAAAAAGATCTAGTATGTTTGGGAATGCTAACAGTAACGGGAACAAAAATAGTTTCATAGGCCTGGGTTTGTGTAACGTAATTAAACTCTCAGCAGACTGATTCCATATTGCAAAAATGACTGCTACCCTTGGCTACTTTGTTTGCAATTTAACAAGAAGAGAAGAAGCATGCTTGTGGGCTTTCTGTGTACTGCTTTACCAAACTAGTGTGGAACAGACATGATTTAGGGTAGTTTGCTCTGTTTGTGATCTGAATTAGAGGACCTCACAATGACATTGGCACCTTACTTTTTGCTCAAGATGCTGACACACAAGAAGGAACCCCTGAAATACAATTGGTTACCTTCTCAGTCCTCTTTGTCTGTTGGTTTCTCTGGACTGTCTAGTCATTATGTTAAATAAAGAGTGTTAAATAGGTTGTGCCATTTTTGGATATCACATTCAGGTGTTTGTACCTGGTTACATGCCTTTGAACAGCACTCCTGATCATCATTCTCTTAGAAAGCAGCATATTCTAAACATTAGTTGAAACCTAGCATATGATGGATTTCACAGTGATATTTCTTCTGTAGGTTTGTTTCTCTACCAATAAATTTTACATAACATTCATGACCTATTACCTGCTCAGTTTATTTCCAAATATGCTGTATTTTCTTAATTTCAATTTGTTTGAATACTTTGTTGTAAAGGAGGAAACTGTTTTTTTTAACGTTAAAATTGTTTGCAGCAGCTACTATGATTCGAAGCATAATTCTTTCTATAATTGGCAAATATTCCTTGTAAAAATCTGCTTTCTTTTGCAGGTGTCCTCCAAATGATGCAGACCAGAATCAGTGCTCTACAAAGTACTGTGGATAGGTATGCCATTCATTATGTGATTAGAAAGTATAAATTCTTTATTGTTCTGTTGTGTTATTTATTAATACTGCTATAAATAAATTTCTCTTCTTGCTTTTAGAATTAAAGTCAAAATTGTTGACCCCTACAACAAAATAGTGTCTCGCACAGCTCAGCTAGCAAAACTTCAAGTAAGTTGTATTAAAAATGTATTTGAAAACTTTTTGAATGTGTACTATTTCCCAATTGTGAAACATGGGTAGAATTTTCATACTCCAGTAGACTGTAGTGCATTGTTGATATTTCTAAAAGAAAATCAGTATTTTTGTGTCTCTTCATGAGCTACTGAGAAGTGCTTCATATTGCAGAGTAGGAACTTGACCATAGCAGTAGCTAAGTGAGATTTTGTAGAGGTAGAGGGAAGTGTTGTCTGAGTACAGATTAATTAAATTTTTTTTTACTGTTTGTGTAATTTTGGTACTTAATGTTATGGTGCTATTGTGTAGAAGATGCTTTTCTCCTCCAACTTAACACATGCTTGGCTGCAGGTTAGTAAAGAGTTTGGGAATTACTTATTTCAAAGTAGTTAGGTTGCAGCTTATGGAACTAGTTGTGGTTCTGGAGTTTTATAAGCCTATGCCTATAGTTAACCCTCTCTTTTGAGTATAAATGAAGGCTACAAGAGAGTGTATGGATCTGTTAGAGGATAGCAATATGAGAGAGCTTATCAGAATGATGGTAAGATGTCAAACACATTCATTATTAGTTTTATAATAGTTGAAAATTATTCTGTAGATCTTCAGGAGTCATGTGGCTCCGTTCTGTTGAGTTTATGGTTTGAAAAACAACACAGTTCCAAATCCACAAGTGTTTAATGAGTTCTTATTTGAACTATTTGTCTTTGCGAGTTTCCCTTAGCTTTGCAGAGCTAGGAACTTAGCTGTTAGTAGCGGAAATTTGAGCGGTGTATATACATACAAGCTGGTAGATTGCCATCTGTGGGTGACTGCTGTTGTATGGGACAGTAGATGAAGCTGCAAACTGTCATGCAGTTTCGAGTCTAGGGGACTGGTGGAGCAGCTGCTCTAGTCTCTTGGCTGAACTACTATCTTCTACATTACTTTCAGTAGCAG